TCTTTTAAAATTGGCGATCATTTCCTTTATTCTCATTTCCTTTATTCTCATTTCCTTTATTCTCATTTCCTTTATTCTCATTTCCTTTATTCTCATTTCCTTTATTCTCATTTCCTTTATTCTCATTTCCTTTATTCTCATTTCCTTTATTCTCATTACCTTTTCATTCGTTTTGAGGGTGATGCTGTGAAGAGGAATTAGAAGTCAGCCACTTCCAGGTTCTGGTCTGCAGAAAACTCCCCAGGGGACACCCCTTCAGGCAGGTTTGCAGTCACCTGTGATTGTATTCTTAGGCCAGGTGACCTTGACGTCACTGTTGGCATAGATAATAGTGTGCTGGTGCATGATCAGTTCAGTTTTTTATTTGGAGTTAACTCTGTTCGTCGGTTACTTGTCGAAGGAGGGATCATTTATTTTCATCTTCTGTTTTTCTTTTTTCTTTCCCGTTATATTCCATACCCGTCTGAAAATGGTAAGTTCAAAAGTTCATCCTTAGGATTCCAAGGACACAGAGCTGTTGAAAGTGGAAGTACGTCTATAGTTCTTACAGAATGCTGATATAGTTTTCGTTACGTCCTCCGCTAGCGAGAATGTATTTCCGTCCATGTTGGTCAAGCTGGCTGCCAGATTGGTAACGCTTGTTGGGAGCTATACTGCTTGGAGCATGGAATTCAGCCTGATGGTCAAATGCCCAGCGATAAGACAATCGGTGGAGGGGATGACTCCTTCAACACATTCTTTAGCGAGACTGGAGCAGGAAAACATGTTCCTCGCGCCGTCTTTGTTGATTTGGAACCAACTGTTGTCGGTAAGTTAATGTAGAACAGTCCTATGTTTTATTTTTCACAAATTCTGCTTGTTAAATAAATTCTAGATTAAATTGCTAAAATTCATCAAATGTATGCTCGTTTCAGGTAGAATATATTTGCTCTGGCGATGTGAATGTTGAATATACTCGAAAATATGCTTGGATCGATCATTTTCCTATTCATCTTTGTTAACGTGGCACTAATATTAGCAACACACGATATTGTGATTGCATGCTAATTTAGAAACTCCAACACGAGTCCATGTTTTAATTGCTAGAAAAAAAACCATTAGAGAAATTAATTCAATCAAAATTCGATAAACAGGTGACAAGTTTTTTGTGTTAAATTGTTTTTTACTTGAACTAATTACTGTCTGAAGTATATAATAATATCAAATACCAAATCAGATCAATCGTGTGGGAAATAGCGCGTTTATTATATTTAATTCCAGCCACGATGGCAATATTGAGGTGCGGAAGAAATTATTGCTTTGCCAGCGAATACAACCTTTTTCACTGCCAGCTTCCGGTTAAGAAAAACTCGCCCAAATAGAAGATGGTGCATCTTTAATCGTGTATCTTCAGTAAGAAGAGGGTGTCGAAGGTTTGATTGGTTTCCTTGGGTTGGCAATGCGGTTTAGTTTCGTGTCGGTACAGAAAAGAAGAATTTAAGGGTAGGGGGTTGGCTGTGGGTAATGGGTACTACAATAGCTAGAAATAAGATACCATACAGCAGTTCTCGGCAAACAGAGTCGGAGTACACTCTATGAGTAGGGTCTAATTTTTTCAGTTAAGGCAGAAACGAACGTAGTTGACTTTCTATATTCCTATTTTTTTTTTTTTATCGTGATGATTTGAGCCGGAAATGCTCTAGCAGTGTTTTGTTTTAAAGATAAAGAGAATGTATCTTTACGTATACGAAACCCTTTTTGCTTGGGAGACACTTGGTACACCTCTATTGGAAATTGATTAAAGGGTTCAAAAGTTATTCCCGCTTGAACTTTTTCACTTCATTGAATACTTAAAATAAGTTTCAATCATTGTTTGACTTTGCGTGTATTGGACCCTAGTGATAATTTTATGGCCGCCAGGACTTTCTCACGAAAATGATAGTGCCAATTTCCCATCTTTATTTTCGCTAAAAGGGATATATACTTCCATTCTCGAATACCGTGCATAAGTATTCCATGAATCGTTATCCAAGGCGAACCTCTTTAGCCGAAATCAGTTCCCAACAAAAGATTACAAAAAGGATAGGAAGATGAAGTGTCACAGTGAACCTTGTATCTATTTTTTACATTTTTGGTGCCTCTAAATGAGAAACGGAACGTTTTTTTACGTATGATGCACGATCCTCGCAGTAGAGAGCGCTATTTATGCAATAGCGAAAATCAGACCTGAAAAAAATCAGG